CCCCCCCCCCCCCCCCGGGTCACATGACCACCGGAGGAAAGTCTGCAGGAGGAAACCTGAAACAGGAGTCAGCTATTTTCTTATCTGCTGAGAGCAATCTCACACGGACAGATTTAACCCTATAAAGCCAAATGTGTCATATCTGATCGGGTTTCTTTTGGATGTGAGACTTTCTGCATCATTCAGTGGTAAAAGCTTTGCTCAAACCCCTGTTGTACACATTCAGATATACCTGATAACAGCCAGTAGAAGACCACACCAACATAGATTTCTGACTTATTGCACGCTAATTTGATCAAAATAATTTATGTTTTTTTTTCTTCATATGTTGTTGAGGGGCCAAAGAAAGACTTCAGACTAAAAAAAATCCAATATTCTTCCTATTTTTTTTAGATCAGGCTTTAAAGCGTTAAATGACCTCATGTCATATATGAAATAACTGTCCTCAAAGATTTTATAGTTATATAGTTTGCTGTTATAAGATCTGTGGAATATTTAGGATCAGTGGTTTGTTGACTAAAACTATCTTAAACTCTGTGTTCAAGTCCACCTATTTGTCTAATTGTTGATTCTCTACTTAGAGATACTTTATTTCAATTATTGTAATCTATATTGGGAGTATATTGGGTATCAGATATACCTGATAACAGCCAGTAGAAGACTACACCAACATATATTTATGACTTATTGCACGCTAATTTGATCAAAATTATTTCCGTTTTTTTTTTCTTTATATGTTGTTGAGGGGCCAAAGAAAGACTTCAGACTAAAAAAATCCAATATTCTTCCTATTTTTCTTGGATCAGGCTTTAAAGGGTTAAGATATGGTGGGAATTTAGTTGCACAAGGTAGTCAACTTATTATTAATAGCCTATCAAACCCTCATTTCTCTAGTAACAATTTTATAGGTAGAACTACTAGAACAAGACCTCAGACTAAAGAAATCCAATATTCTTCCTATTTTTCTTGGATCAGGCTTTAAAGGGTTAAACTTGAAGATAAAGCTAACAGAATTATCCATTATTCAAACAGACCTTAAAAGAGATTGGCGACCAAAATTAAGTCCATAATGTGTATATTGTGTTTTAGCCGCTTTAAGCTCAACTTGGTTTTTAAGCTAAACGTCAAACGTAAAAATTATTTCAGTTTTTTTTGTTCATATGTTGTTGAGGGGCCAAACAAAGACTTCAGACTAAAAAAATCCAATATTCTTCCTGTTTTTCTTGGATCAGACTTTAAAGGGTTAAACTTGACAATAACACTGGGTCTCATCTCTGAACTGGTTAACCCTTT